TTGGACGCAACCCAGTTGTGGCATATGCGGTTGGGACATGCTGGAGAGAAATCCTTGCAAATTCTGGCAAAGAAAGGATTGTTGAAAGGTGCAAAGGCTTGCAAATTGAACTTTTGCGAGCATTGTGTTCTGGGAAAGCAGAAGAGAGTGAAGTTTGGCACCACTATACATAATACAAAAGGTATTGTAGATTATATTCACTCAGATGTATGTGGTCCTTCAAAGACATCGTCTTTGGGAGGAAACCATTATTTTGTAACTTTTGTAGATGACTTTTCCAGAAGAGTTTGGGTGTATACGATGAAGTCTAAAGATGAAGTGCTTCAAATTTTCCTGAAATGGAAAAATATGATCGAGAACCAGACTGGTAGAAAGATCAAACGTCTTAGGACGGACAATGGAGGGGAATATAAAAGTGACCCATTCTTTGATGTTTGCCATGAGTATGGTATTGTTCGACACTTCACTGTTAGACATACACCACAACAGAATGGGGTGGCAGAGCGTATGAATCGAACACTATTGAAGAAAGTTCGATGTATGTTGTCTAATGTTGGGTTAGGCAAAGCATTTTGGGCTGAGGCTCTGACATATGCTGGCCATCTCATTAATCGTCTGCCGTCATCAGCGATAGGAGGAAAAACCCCATTGGAGGTATGGTCTGGAAAACACCATTGGAGGTATGGTCTGGAAAACCTGCTACTGATTATGATTCCTTACATGTATTTGGATCCACTGCTTATTATCATGTGAATGAATCCAAGCTTGATACGAGAGCAAAGAAGGCTCTCTTTATGGGAATCACCCATGGAGTGAAGGGATTCCGCCTTTGGTGTTTAGACACCAATAAGATAATTTGTAGCAGAGATGTTACCTTTGATGAATCTGCCCTAGTAAAGAAGGTAACAAGTGAAGCTGTCCAGACAAGTAGTACTCCGCAGCAGGTGGAGCATACTCCAAAACAGGTGGAGTTTCAGCAGATGATGATCCCAGAAGTTGATGCAGCTGATTCTTCAACTCCAATAGAAGAATCAGAAGATAAAGAGGTTCAAACCCAAGAACCATTGGAGACACCAGAAACACTTGCAGTTACAAGGCCAAGGAGAGAAATTCGTAGACCTGCTCGATTTGTTGATATGGTGGCCTATGCTCTTCCAGTTGTTGATGATGATATCCCTATCACTTACCAAGAAGCAATACAAAGCTTGGAAAATGATAAGTGGAAAAGTGTCATGGATGAAGAAATGCAATCTCTCCAAAAGAACGACACTTGGAAACTGGCACAATTACCGAAAGGTAAAAGAGCCATTAGATGCAAGTGGGTATTTGAAAAGAAAGATGGATCTTATAACAAGAAAGATGTTCGCTACAAGGCACGGTTGGTAGCTAAAGGCTACGCTCAAAAGGAGGGAATCGACTATAATGAAGTATTTTCCCCTGTTGTGAAGCATTCCTCCATTAGAATATTGTTGGCCTTGGTAGCACAGTTGAATTTGGAGCTAGCTCAACTTGATGTAAAGACGGCTTTCTTGCTCGGTGATTTAGAAGAGGAGATCTATATGACACAGCCAGAAGGATACAAAGATGGTGGTTGTGATAAATGGGTTTGTAAGCTGAACAAATCACTATAGTGATTGAAGCAATCTCTGAGGCAGTGGTACAGGCGATTTGATAGCTTTATGAGGAGGCAAAAGTATACTAGAAGCAAATATGATCATTGTGTGTATTTGTAAAAGCTCAAAGATGGATCTTTCATTTATCTTCTCTTGTACGTTGACGATATGTTGATCGCTTCGAAGAGTCAAAAGGAGATAGACAAATTAAAGGCTCAGTTAAATCAAGAGTTTGAGATGAAAGATCTAGGTGAGGCCAAGAAGATTCTTGGTATGGAGATAAGCAGAGATAGACAGAGAGGGAAGCTTTGTTTAACACAGAAGCAGTATCTGAGAAAGGTATTACAATGTTTTGGCATGAATGAAATTACCAAACATGTAAGTATCCCATTGGCTTCTCATTTGAAACTTAGTTCTCAATTATCTCCTAAAACTAATGAAGAACGAGTGTATATGGCAAAAGTTCCATATGCTAATGCAGTTGGGAGCTTGATGTATGCAATGGTGTGTACGCGTCTTGACATTTCACAAGCAGTTGGAGTTGTGAGCAGGTACATGCATGACCCTGGAGAAGGACATTGGCAAGCTGTGAAATGGATTCTACGCTATCTCCAACAAACTGTGGATGTTGGTTTAGTTTTTGAACAGGATGAAGCACTTGGTCAGTGTATGGTTGGATATGTTGATTCCGATTATGCTGGTGATCTGGATAAGCGTCGATCAACTACTAGGTATTTGTTTACTCTTGCTAAAGCTCCAGTAAGTTGGAAGTCTACATTGCAATCTACGGTGGCCTTGTCTACTACAGAGGCAGAATACATGGCAGTTTCAGAGGCTGTAAAGGAAGAAATTTGGCTTAACAGGTTGATGGAAGACTTGGGAGTTGTTCAAAGTCACATTAGTCTCTATTATGACAGTCATAGCGCTATTCACTTAGCGAAAAATCAAGTCTACCATTCAAGGACTAAGCATATCGACGTGAGGTATTACTTTGTGCGGGAGATCTTTGAAGAAGGAAAGATTCTACTTCAGAAAATTGCGACATCAGAAAATCCTGCAGATATGATGACCAAGGTGGTAACAGTAATCAAGTTCAATCATTGTTTGAACTTGATTAACATCCTGAAAGTATGAACACCTTCGGGTGTATGGCGCTTGTGAGCGCAATTAGAGGCACTACAAATTTGGGGAGTTGAAGAAGTTGAGTAGGCTTGGTAATTTCAAGCCAAGGTGGAGATTTGTTAGATTTGTCTAGAAATTAAGTTGACAAGTTGGAAATTTCATCTTGGTTGGTGGCCAACTTATTGGAAATTTCATCTTGGCTGGTGGCCAAACTTTGAACATGTGAATTTCATATTTGGTGGCTAACTTGTACACATTGGAAAATTCTTTGGTAGGTGGCCAAACTTTGAACATATTGTTCTTGAAACTCAACTATAAATAGGCCTAAGTATTTCCATTAGAAATCATCCCAAAAACAAGTTCTCTCTTCCTCTTGTATTCTTCATTCTCCCACTTTGGGAATTCCAAAGAATTTTATTTGTTGTAATATTGGCGATATAGTGAAGTTATCATCCGGTATGGTGCCCGAGGAGTAGACGATATTCTCGTCGAACCTCGTAAATTTGGTGTGTTCTCTCATTTATTGTTTTTTTATTCGGTTCTTTTCCATTGTGTTTCAATATTCAATAGTTTGACAGGTTTATCCGCTGTGCAACCTTTGGTGGTTTTAATCTTGACATTTTAAGTCAATTTTAAAACTACGTTCGTGTGGGAAATAACTCATTTTCCCCAACACATATTACATGTCATTCATGAAAATATCAATTATTATAGTATTATAGACATTTTATATTTGTTATTATGGTTCAACATTTTAATTATTTTTTAATTAAAATGCACAAATCAACTTATCTCAGTAGTTAAAGGAATCGTCGTTGTTTTTAGAGGTCATGGGTTCGAGCACAAACGATTGCAGCAATGTGATTGAACGTTTATTGTCAAATGGCTAAGAGTATATTTAAGACAAATACTACTTCTAATCACCTTAGCTTAATAAAAAAATAAAAAAAAAATTAATTAATACGATTGTTATTACAATACATGTAAATATAAATTTAAATACATTATTTTATTTATAAATGAAAATTTTATTTAATTTGAACTTTATATAATAAAAATAAAATATATAAATAATTCAATCAAAATAAAATCAATCATGCAATTGAGTGGTTATCTTTGTACTTCACTCTTAGTTTTTTTTGTTATTTATTTATTTCTATTAAATATATTTTTATTCATTTATAGATAAAATCAATGCATCTTCCTTTTCATTTGTGTGCATTTTAAATAACAAATTTAATAATTCATCATATATATTATTCATCTTGCACACATTTAAAATTAAAAACGGAGATACCCAGACCAATACATCTTCCATACTTAAAAGCTGACATTTTCTCCTTTTTTTTAAAAAAAAAAAGGTACATAAACGGAAAAAATAAGAAGAGTTGATCAAGATTTTTTCTTGATAATTGAGAAAAGGGATTAAAATTAGAAAAGAATATCAATATCATCCAATCACAGTGACAATTGTTTTTGTTTTTTTAAATAATAATGATATTTTATTTATCAAAAGCCGTATTAACAAATGTTTTGTCAATTACAGATTGAACAAATACACTTAAGACTATCGACAATAAAATATAACAATGATCGTTTATTGATAGCTGATAAACAAAACCATTAACAAGTGGAGCAACTACGTTCATAAACTGAACACATCAACGGTTTCGAGCAACAAAACAATAGGATAACTTAAAATTTATTCAGTACAATAGGGTAACTTAAAAATTATTTTTAGTTCACATCTACTTTCTTCAGACATGCTCTGGCAAAAACATTAAGTAATCTAGAATTTCATTGCAACAAATTTTAACTTGCCCTAACAGTTTTTTTTTCAATACAAAAGAAGAAATTATAAATGTTGGAATTCAAATTTAAATGGAATAGATATCATTTCTGAAGGATAATAGCATAACCAAATTATATTAAACGAAGGATGTTGGCTTCAGTTACTGATTTTGTTCTTATTGTACTTGTACTTAATTTGATATATTATTTTATCAATAAATAATTTATAATTGGCTTTATACATTACAATAGGGTAACTTAAAAATTATTTGTAAAATTTTAAAAGGGTTGACCGAAAATTTAAGTAACAATTTTTTTTATTTGGCTAATGGGCAATTTGATGGAACTGTTTATTTAATTTATTCGTTATATGATATTACAAAATACGCCACTGTACTCTATCGTTGTACTTAATTAAGATATCGTAGTCGCTTCTTCAATATCCCAACGAGAAATTATACTTGGTAATTAACTATGGAGATCATGTGGAGATATTCCCTCTTTCACTCGCTGCTAATTGTAAGCTTTGCTCTTTCATTTCTAATCCATGCTCAAGACCAATCAGGTAACTTGCCTACAAAAATCTTCCAATGCATAAGTACGTATATATAATATTCAGCAACCTTAATAAGCTCTTTTTTGAAAATCGGACTGGACTGGTCGGTTTAACCGGGAACCGTTGCTTAGTCCGATTTAATCTAAACCGGTTGAACCTCTATTAGTGAACCGGCCAGAACCGTTGAACCGTTCGAATCGGACCGGCTGAAAACCGGAAAAAATCGAGAAAAACCGAGATTTTTTGATTTTTTTTTAAAAAAATTAAACAAAACAACGTCGTTTGTTAAACGAGCCAAGTCAAACTTGAGTATTGCTGAGCTCGACTCGAACTTGAAAACTTTAAAAGTAAGCTCAACTCAACTCAAACTCACAAGCTAAAAATTATCAAGTTCAACTCAAACTCGAAATATAATATTGAAACTTGAACTCAAAAAGGCTTGAACTCAAAAAAAAAATTAGAAGCTCGATTGAAGCCTAAAATTCGAGCTTGATTGAAGTGAAAGAATAGTTCACTCAATGCTCACCAAAATGCTCCATGATTTTGAATGTCAAATTACCTCTATTATTTATAGAAGTTAGTTGTGATGCGCTTCTATGTTTCTTAGCAATGTGAGATTGTTTTGTTCTCATATTTTTACTCTTTAGACTTTTAGGATGCTCTTCTATGTTTCTTAGCCATGTGAGATTGTTTTTAAAAAAAAAATTAAACCAAACAATATCATTTTGTTATAATTTTTTTAACCCCAAATTTATTTTTTAATTATAGTTATATAATTATATTTATTATTTAATATGTTTTACCTTAAATATTATGTTGTAGTTAATTTGAATCATTTTGTTTCATTTGTTTTTATGGTTTTTAACTTATATATGTTATGACATGCTTTGAATATGACTTGTGATATAAAAAATTATTTTTTATTAAATATTTTTTGTATTTTTATTTAATTTTTTAAATAATTATGACGTCGTCCGGTTCTTCCGACCGGTCAGACGGGTTCAACCGGTTGAACCAGTGAACCGATAGTATGACCGGTTCGCTAACCGGTCCGGTTCTGAAAACCATGTTAATAAGGATAAATCTCAATATTTTTAGGTTTGATTAGCTTAGACTGCGGGTTGTCAGAGGATTCAAGCTATACCGATTCCACGACAGGCATCAATTACATTTCGGATGAACCTTATATTCAAACCGGAATAACTAAGCGTATATCATCGAAATATTCGGTGTACCAGCAGAAGTACTGGACAATTCGAAGTTTTCCGCAAGGAGATCAAAACTGTTATAACTTTACCTTGAGAAAAGGAGATAAGTACATAATCAGAGTAAGTTTCTTGTATGGAAACTATGATGGGAAAAACACAGTGCCAGTTTGATATCCGTTTAGGACCTAATTTATGGGCAACGGTTTTATTTAGATAACACTTCTTGTTCCTGGGAGATCATTCATGTTCTTCAATCAAAATATTTGTATGTTTGTTTCGTGAACACTGGGAAAGGGGTGCCTTTCGTATCGGTATTAGAGTTGAGGCTTTTGCCAAATACTACACTTTATACAACCCAGTTTCAAACTGAATCACTTTCACTTTGGAAAAGACATGATGTTGATCTGATATCCAATGGTTTCTTCAGGTTAGTGACACCATTAAATTTCCTTAGCTAAAATGTACCTTTTTTTTTTACATTATGATCATGAGAACTGTCGTCAGTACAGGTTTAAAGAAGATGGTTATGATCGAATGTGGTGGCCTGATCAAAGAGATGATTGGAGGGTTTCATTCAACATGGAAACTGCCGGTACACCAGCAGATGTTGGTCAGCCGATGAATATCAGTATTCCAATTGACCGGTTTTACGGGTACATGCACTTTGCAGAAGTTGAAGTTCTCAATAACAGCATTGAATCCAGAGAGTTCGACGTGTATATAAAATTATAAATGGACATAAATTTTATGAAGCTTTTCGTCCTGCATATTTGCAAGTATTCACCTTATACAGAGACTCAGCCCTAAGTAGTGGGAGATTTTAATCCAATGAACCAGTAATTCAACCCTTCCGCCCATCCTTAACGCCATTGAAATTTATGAAGTGAAAAACTTCTTACAGTCTCAAACAAATGAAACAGATGATAACTTACTCTAAAACTAACATCATACATTTGCACACAAAATTCTCTATTATATCTTATAGCTGATGCTATTGCGAATATAAAATTAATCCGTGTATGAAATAAAGAGAAACTGGAAGGGAGATCCATGTGCGCCTCAAAAATTCTTGTGGGGAGGACTTAATTGCAGCTACGATATTACCAATCCTCCAAGAATCGTATCTTTGAAAATTTTGCATGTGCCTGCCATTTATGTTTTAGGTTAGCAATGTTGGAAGTCAAACTCAACATGTTAAAGAAGAGCGTAGAATCAATCACATGTGGCAAAGATATTTTGGAAATAATTGAAATTTAGGTGGCAGCAACTTTTATTAGTTTTTGGCAGCATGCTAATGAAGCATTTCAACGTGAGAAGCAACTAGAGCTGAAATATGTCGGCTTGGAATTATTTGAAACGTGGAACTTTTGTGAGCAACAAAACAATTGGAAATTGGAAGCTAATCAAAGTACAACAAGCAAATGATGCGGCTAGAAGATTTTAGAAGCAATTTAAGTCGGTTTAAGTCTCCTATAAATATGTGTGTTTTAGGTCCAAGTTATGTGTGTAGTGAGGAAAAGAGTGAATAACGAGTGAGAGGAAAAAATAGAGAGAATTGTGAGAAAGCTTAGCAAAGCTATAAGGTGTTTGTAAACTAGCCGCAGCTAGTGTCCTAGTATTGTAATATTGAGGTAGTGTCATTGTAAAATATTTTGTTTCGTATCAACAAAAAGTTAGAGTGATAAATTATAGTGACCCCATCTACGCTTCCAATAAGTGGCCTCAGAGCTTGGTTCGAGTTCAACGTGGTGGAGAAGATGGCCAACATGATTCAACCACAAATTCCGAGATTGACAAAGACGAATTATGGAAATTGGAGCATTCAAATGAAGGCGTTACTAGGCTCCCAAGATTGTTGGGATATCATCGAGGATGGTTACACCGAGCCTGGAAATGCAGCAGCAGAAGCAGCCCTGGCCAATGAAGAAAAGAAAGTATTGAAGGAATCCCGGAGAAAAGATAAAAGAGCATTGTTCTTTATTTTTCAAGGAGTAGACGAATCTACCTTTGAAAAAATTTCTGATGCGAAGACCGCAAAACAAGCGTGTGAGATTTTGCAAAAATCTCTACAAGGTGCCGAAAAAGCAAAAAAGGTACGCTTACAAACTCTCAGAGCTGAGTTCGAGTTGTTAAAATGAAAAATATAGAATCCATCGATGATTATATTAGCCGTGTGAAAGCGGTCGTGAATGAAATGAAAAGAAATGGTGAATCACTTGACGATGTTAGAGTGATGGAAAAAATTTTGCGGTCATTAACAAGAAAATTTGATTACGTGGTGGTGGAAATCGAAGAATTGAAAGATTTATCTCAGATATCGATTGATGAGCTTGTGGGTTCACTTCAAGCCCATGAGCAGAAAATGAAACAAAATGAAGATTCATAAAATTTGGAGCAAGCTCTACAAAGCAAGATGAGTGTCAACGAAGGAGAAGCTAGCAACAGCTACACACGAGGTCGAGGAAATCGTGGAAGATACAGAGGAGGACAAGGAACTCGTGGATGTGGTGGTCGATCATATAGCACCGATCAAATGAGTGAAAACAATCCAATATCAGGTCGTGGAAGAGGATTCAGAGGTAGAGGTAGAAGCAGATATCAACAAGGAAGTAAATTCCAGGTACAATGTTATAATTGCAATAAGTATGGTCATTATAGTTATGAGTGTAGATCTGCTCCTAAACAAGAAGAAATAAATAATGTAGCAGCAGCTGAAGAAGAAAAAAAATAAAAAATCTCATGTATTCCTCACTTACAAAGGAAATGAAGAATTCAAGAAAAATATTTGGTATCTTGATAATTGTGTCAGTAACCATATGTGTGGTCAAAGGGAATTATTTGTGAAATTAGATGAAACAGTCCATGGGCGAGTAACGTTCGGAGATGACTCGCACACAGAACTAAAAAGAAAAGACGAAGTAATGATTACTCAGAGAAATGGAGAAAAGAAATATATTTCATATGTTTATTATGTACATACCTGCTTTGAAAAGCAATATCATCAGTCTTGGTCAACTCCTGGAAAAAGGATATGAAGTGCAGATGAAGAACCGCTCGTTTTCCATCAAAAATAAAGAAGGAGAATTGTAGCCCAAACTTATATGACTCGAAATCGTCTCTTTACAATTGATATCGAGTCGGGAGAAGTCAAGTGCATGAAGACCGCGATCAAAGATGATTCATAGTTGTGGCATCTAAGATATGGACATCTTGGATTTTCTGGTTTGAAGTTGTTATAAAAAACAAACATGGTGAAATGACTACCAGAGATCAACCCTCCAAATCAATTATGTGAGGCTTGCATCAAAGGAAAGAAACATAGACAAAGCTTTGAAGTTGGTAGATTTTGGCGTGCCCGAAGACCGCTGGAGATACTATACACAGATATAGCTGGTCCTTTTGACATACCATCGCTCGACGGTAACAGGCACTATCTAACTTTTATTGATGATTTTAGTAGAAAATGTTGGATTTACATCTTGAAAGAAAAGTCAGAAGCGTTGGAAAAATTGAAAGAATTTAAAGCAATGGTGGAAAAACAAAGCGGCCAATATTTGAAGATACTCAGATCAGATAGAGGAGGCGAATATACATCAAAGTTATTTGAAGAATTCTATAAAGAGCATGACATCATTCATCAGCTGACAGCCAGATACACGCCACAACAAAATGAAGTTGCAGAAAAAAAGAATCGCACAATTCTTGACATGGCGAGAAACATGATAAAAGGCAATCAACTACTGAGAAATTTCTGGGCTGAAGCAGTTCAATGTGCAGTTTACCTATTAAACAGATGTCCAACAAAAAGTGTGAAGTATATGACGCCAAACGAAGCATGGAGTGGTCAGAAACTAGGAGTTGGACACCTTTAGTGTAACACCCCAATTTAGGGGTTAAATTTAAGAAATTATAAAGTGGTGGATTTAATTTGTATTTTTGAAAGAAACAGTGGATTAAATTGTAAAATTTCAAAGTTGGCAAACCATTTTAAGAAGTACATGAAATTCAGTGGCTAAACTCATAGTTTACCCATTTTTCTTTTGGAATGAATTATAACCCCTCCCGTATGTTTTTCTGCAGATTATCATTTTTCTCTTCTCCAACAACCCTTCTTCCAACTCCGATCTATTCGTCGTCCGACCTCCGATCGACGAGCCGAAACCACCATCGTGTTCGTTGTCGACCGAGGAACAAAACCCCTCAAACCTTTCGTCATGAATCGTCACAGTTCGTCGTTAATTTCAGTCGGAAGTATCATCGCTAATAACTCGATTTCAGTTGGTTTTTCATCGATTCACGAAGATCCAATAATTCGTTTTCGACACCTCTCATACCATAGTGTTCCTTGCATCGTTCCGAGTCCTCCGGTGTTCTCTGTTTCTCCGTCGTCGCCAGCGCGTGGAGGGGTGAGACCGTCAAAGTTTCCGACATTTTGGAATCGAGCTCTCCACCGTTCAAAATTGTGAACCGAGCTTTCTAAGTGCCTCAAAATCACTTAAAATAATTTTTAGGAATTTTTCGATAATTTTCTGACACCGTAACACTGTTCACGCGCCACTCCCGAGAGTGGGCATCGTCTGGGTTATAATTTAATAATTAATTTATGTTTGAGTGTTATTTGTGTAAAATCTGGGTGTTAGATTGGTAAATATTTGTAGAATGTGGCTAATTTGGTAATTAATTTTTCTTAGGGTGATATTTGTGTAAAATGGTCGACTGTTGACCGTTGACCACAGTTGACCAGAACTTTGATTGGCTTTGACCGGGCATTAAACGAGCTTTGACGTTGACCGAGTATACCTAACTTGACATTTTTCGACGTTCCAAATCCAATTCCGCAGTCCGTTTTTCGAAATTCGGACCCAAAGGCCTCAAAATTTCCAGTCAAACCCGTTGAATTTGATTTTGACCGAAAATTCCAAATTTTTGAAAAGTCATATTTTATGCTTTCGACGTCCTGAATCCGAATCCGAAGTCCGTTTCGCCAAATTTGAACCCGGTAAATTGTTTTTGACTGATTTATCACCCGATTCGATTCGTTTATCGCAATTAAGCTCTGTTTTTATGTAATATATGTTGATATGGATCCGAGGAAATATTGGAAGATGATTTCAAGATTGAGGACGTTTTAATGGAATTTAATGGTCGATTAGTATTGCACGGAAATCGAGGTAATACTTTACTACCTCTTTATGTTTTATGGTAAATGCATGAATAAGATAATGTTGATCATATTTGTGGAGTTGATTAATTTATACACTCAATATGAATGTGGTAGAAATTCGATAACTGAATTCGGATCGAACGATTAATATAAGAGATTGAGGGAATGTTAGAATTAAATTACAAGTTGTGTGATTTGTGATAAAGAAATCAGCCATGGATTTGTAACTTATATTTTAAAGGTTAAATGTTAAAGGTACTTGGATGAGAAATTATGAGAATACTTCGGTAGGATAAAATTACGAAAATACCCTTATCTTTGAGGATGACAAGAATTGTCCCTGGAAGTTGGTTAATAACTCTGAAAAAACATATTGATCCGATATAATTACAGATGTGCATAAGAAATGCTAGTTTTGCTTAAAAATTTGGATAATTGGTTTTTAACCCTAAAAGGGTTTGTATAAGATACTATAAGTCTGTTAAGGAATCATTTCGAGATCAAAAAATGTTCGGGAAAGCAATTAACCATTGGATCTCTAAAGTATAATTATTTTCGTTAAGAGTTAATATCGGAATTATCTGATTAAGAAATTACGAAAATGCCCTTGAGAGGTAAAAATAGTCCAAGTTGACTCTGAATGAGGAAGTAACATGAGAATTTGTTTTTAAACCGATAAATTACTGATTTGATTGTTGAGATCCTATTTTTGTATGGAAAATTCTGATAATCCGTTAGTAACATCTGAGAAGGCATTTAACTTGGAAATCTCCGACTTGAGTAAGTATGTGAAGAATAATAATTTATCGATGGTGATATTTTGTCAGAATAGTTCAAAGGGACTGACATAAATGATAAGTTTGAATTAAATAATAAGATCGAACGGAAGGAAATGATTGAAATATTCTAGATTTGTAAAATGACCAAAATACCCATGGAATGGAAATGACTCAAGAATGTCACCAAGCTCAGGCATGAATGGATATACTCAAGCTTTGAAATGAATAGAAAAACGTTGAGCACCAAAATGACCAAAATGCCCTTATGACCTAGAATAAGTAAATGTCTTGGATTAATTAAGAAATATAAATAAACATAGATGTTGTGCTACCAGTAAAAGTTATGGAACACAACTTAAGTGATCAACCAACGTTAGTGCTATATCATTACCTGAATGATATAAGTACCACTTGAATGTTTGTTCATCTTCTTAAATTTGGATCGATGATAATTCTGGAAGTACTTGGCTCAGCTCAACTCTATAGCGCATACAGTACTAATAAATGGGTATTCGTGAGTCAAATCAACCACGAATACCAGAATGACTTTATTATATGAATAAATTGAACTGAAATGAAGTACAACGTGTATTTGAAATTCAAAAACGTCTGAATTATTCTGGAAAACTTTAAAGTAATCGGGATAGACTTGCTTACTAAACAAACTAAGTAACATCAATGACTGAGGATTAAATAGGTGATTGGATGAGTTTGGAAACACTGTTGAACTTACATGATGAATTGTCCTTATGGGTTATGAGCCATGGATCAAGTACGTCCGTATTTCCTGATATTGTTGAAACGTGGAAATAAAATAAAGACCGTTGGAAGATTTATTCAGTGATGATTATGGGGATGATCTATGGATCTGTATTATGGTATTAAAGAGTGAATACACTGGAAGGATAATGAATTGACTTGTTGACATGCATCAGTTTGGGAGTTGTGTAACTCGAGTTGTTTGATAATATGATCGATAGTCATAGATTGTAAATGACTTGAATCTTTGATTCTATAGTTTCATCTAAAATCACTTTAGTCATGTTGGAAAACGCAAGTAACGCAGAAGGAAAAGATTCTGAATACCTCATTTGGTTCAATTAGGCTGAAAACCTATGAATTCAAAGTATATTCCTGAATACCCCTGATTGTTTGGGTAATAGAATCACTCGCAGTAAATCTGAATTTAGAATTATTATGTATAAAGGTTCCTGAACGTTTTCCTGATGCATATAGAAACTTAGTGGAATTCTAAAAGTATCAATCTGAAATGTCTGATTAGATCGGTTAGAAATCAATTCTCTTCAATAAGATCTTATTATTGGAATCCGATCAAATTGCACAAGTTCATGTTATCCATATTGATAACTACAAAATGCATCTGAAAAATAATTTGATTCTCTAGTGTGTTCCTTATATTTTGAAAAATTGTTTTATTGTTTTAACATGTGGTACACTGAAATCTATGGTTACTGTTTTATGGATGCACCGACTTAACGGTGATGTCTTATGGATTTGTATCATTGTATAAACTGTATCTTGGAGATACATATTTGTAAAGTACAGCTCTGATCAAGTTGGAAAATTTTTATGGACCTAATGTGACTCTTAGGTAGGCTCTGCGGCCCTGAGATCATTCTCGGGTAGGCCCTGTGGCCCTAAAATGTGTTCTTAGGTAGGCCCCACAGCCCCGAAATCTATCTTGGGTAGGCTCTCAGGCCCTAAAATGTTCCCTTAGGTTAACTCTTTGTAAGATGGTTTAAAATACAAGTTTAAAATGCTCCACTACAGTATGGTTTATGGGATTTTACTGAACTATCATTTGATTAGTGTACCTATTATGATTTTATCGTACTGATGGGACACACTAGATATCCTATTCGACCTCATGAAAACGTGACTGTATGAAAGGTTTCTTATAAACTGAGATTCATGGATTCTACTCGATGAACTACTAATGGAACCCCAGATTATTCCGCAACTGGTATACGTTTGATTCAATAAGGAAATTATGGCTTCCCATTTATCTGCATGTCATGTAGCATCATCTGGTAGTTCTGTATTACTGAGCTTTCCGAAGCTCACTCTATTACTCATCTTTTTAGGCTAAAAGAATTGTACGAGTACAGCTATCAACATCAGTAAGGGAGTTCTTCCGGCGTTGCTTGCAGAGTATGGTACATGTGACTAGGGGGCATGTGGATTGTATTTTGTTTTATATTTGAGTTTGAAAAACCTATTTTATTTCTGAATAATAATAAATCATTTATGATTTTACATGTTTTAAGAAAAGTTTTAAATTTTTTGCTATTTATACAGTGGGTCACTCCAGTGGCCCTAATGTGACACTCCAGATCGGATCGGGCTATCCACATCGGTTTGAGGGGGTTACATTAAGATTTTTGGATGCATCGCATATGCCCACGTTTCTGAACAGACCAGAAAAAATCTTGATGATAGAGGAGAAAAATGTATTTTCATTGGCTATGATGAAATAAGCAAAGCTTACAGATTATATAATCCTCTTACCAAGAAAGTAATAATTTCAAGAGATGTTGAATTCGATGAAACAGACTATTGGAGATGGAGCAAAGAGGAAAAGAAAGTTGAAGGACTATTTTTTAATGAAGATAAAGATGACGATCTTATCAATCAAGATGAACAAGCTGATGATCAAGGTCCTCAACAAACTGTACCATCGTCGTCAAGCAGCAGCAGCGATGCCAGCAACATAATAGAAGATCCTGAAGCACCTCCCACAGAAGTTCGAAGATCCACAAGAGAAAGAAGAATACCATAAAGGTACAACGATTGTGAATTAAATAATATTTCACTATTCAGTCTTTTTGTAAAGAGTGATCTCATAATAAATGAAGAATCGATTGGAGAAGACAAGTGGAGAAAAACTTGGAATGGAAAGTCGAGTTTGAGGGGGAGTGTTGGAAGTCAAACTCAACATGTTAAAGAAGAGTGTAGAATCAATCACATGTGACAAAGATATTTTGGAAATAATTGAAAGTTAGGTGGCAACAACTTTTATTAGTTTTTGGCAGCATGCTAATGAAGCATTTCAATGTGAGAAGCAACTAGAGCTGAAATATGTCGGCTTGGAATTATTTAAAACGTGGAACTTTTGTGAGCAACAAAACAATTGGAAATTGGAAGCTAATCAAAGTACAACAAGTAAATGACGCGGCTAGAAGATTTGAGAAGCAATTTAAGTCGGTTTAAGTCTCCTATAAATATGTGTGTTTTAGGTCCAAGTTATGTGTGTGTAGTGAGGAAAAGAGTGAATAACGAGTGAGAGGAAAAAATAGAGAGAATTGTGAGAAAGCTTAGCAAAGCTATACGGTGTTTGTAAACTAGCCGCAGCTAGTGTCCTAGTATTGTAATATTGAGGTAGTGTCATTGTAAAATATTTTGTTTCGTATCAATAAAAAGTTAGAGTGATAAATTATAGTGAGCCCATCTACGCTTCCAACAAGCATGGATCTTTTTTGATTGTTGTTAAATTGCAAAACTTTTTGGCCACGAAATCAGGAATTTATCATCTAGCAACTTGAATGGAGAGATACCTAATGTCATACCCAATCTCTCTCAGTTACAGCACTTGTAAGTGTCTCCAATCTCCATGTTCAAGAGTTAATTTCGAGTTCTCGTATTAATGGTGACGAAGGAATATATCGGACTCACTTATTGCTATATATTATCAGGGACTTATCAAACAACCGTTTGACTGGACCCGTGCCTGAATTTCTGGCTAACCTGCAATTCTTGACTGCGCTGTAAGCTATTAGGAAATTTAAGACTCCTTGGAAAATAACGATAACGGATCACGTACACGTTCATCCATTTTGTTGTTGCAGAAATTTGAGTAGAAACACGTTTAATGGTTCGGTTCCTGCAAAACTCAGGCAAAGGGCAAACCAGGATCTGCTAGATTTAATGTATGATTTTCTTCTCCTTTCTTTACATTTTTTAATGTCGATATGCTTATGTGGTAATAGAGACATCAAATATTTAAATTGCGGTAAACACATCAAACAAAGTCGAAGTTCAATTACTTGTTTCTGAAACCATCCGTGTTTAACTTTTTTAGTACCTTTCTTCGCAAACATGGAATCAACAAACTAATCCACAATTATTTAGCAGTAACTAGAATTCTATTCCAATCCTTTCTTTTTCTTACATGATTTTTGTTCCAAACTTTATTCATTTTTGTTGTTCAATTGGAATTGGTTGAAGCATGGATGAAGACATAAGTCCTATTTGTATATCCGACTCATGCAACAACAACAACAATGACGACGATAAGATTGTCCCTATTGTAGCATCAGTTGCATCCGTAGTTTTGGTCCTCATAATTACTTTGGCCGTATTATGGAAGCTTAAAAGAAGAAAACCGCCTGGTATGGCCATTAATAGTACAATTGGTGGATCCAAATTAAGATTCTTCATCTTCATCCTCGTCTAATTGATATCTAATACAGAAACAATAGAAAACTGTGAAATATGTTAACCTGTACAGAACAGGGAAGGCAGACTCTGCTAGACTCCAAGGTGAATTAAAGAGAATGTTGATTTAATGAATGGATAGTTTCTTTAGACAAAATTAGGAGCATATTGTCGATTAAAAAAATTAAGGGAGTGTTGATCAGGGAATATTTGGAGTATATATAGGGACTGATAGTTAACCTTTTTGTTCACGAAATATTCTAAAAATATTTAATGCACGATAATATTTTTTTGTTACCTTAACGGACATCAGATATTCCCTTCACTCTCCCTTTTCACTATTTTCGGATTTGATTCGTTACACTTGATAGATAATAGATTGTTCGAGGTTGATATTCGAACCAATAATAAAAGTGTTGACGCGATTAATATCGAATCACCTGAAGGGCAAGAAAACATAATCAAATGTTAAAAGGAAACAAATCCAAATTAATTAGCTGACCCTATTCCCATATGTAATGGGGTGAGGGGGAGGTAAGGTAGTAGACTGTCCCCAACAGGTTGAGAGCAGCTTCCGTGGAAGACCTCCGGCAGTCAGAATTATGAATTGCCCACCGTGGGACTTGATCCCACGACCACAAAGTTAAGAGTCTTGCGCTCTACCAACTGATATGAAGAACGAAAATCCATTTTGAGTGCCATTAATTTAAAATGAACAATAAACAAAGTCCTTGTAAGAGGATTTATATTACTTACGAATAAAATTATAGAGTTGATTCTGAGCATCATTAAATAAAAAAATTGACACTTTAATTTAAATATGTTTAATTTGTTTAGTACAAATCTATTTTTAAATATATATTTTTATTACTTTTAAAACATTGGATACTTTTCGAAGTATACGAGTAAACGTGTAAATTTGTATCTTAGATAGGAATTTCAATCGCCTGTTCTAATATTTTTTTATTAAGTTAAAATGATTACAAAATAATGTTTGTTTTAAATACTCTCAATCATTTGATAATGAACACTCAATCACCTTGCTACAGCCGTTGGTGCTCCGACTAGTGACCTCTAAGAACAACAACTATTCCTTTAACCACTTAAATAAGTTGGTTCGTGTGCTTATTCTAATATTTGTTGAACTATCGTTTGGTGGGTTAACAAAATTACGAACTTATAATTCTAATAATCAAAATTTAATATTTGATTAAATATAAAAGTAAATGGCTTGTTTTAATTACAAATAAAAATTTTCAACTGTGAATCGCTCAAACTTTTACCTCAGCACTATATATATAAAGGTTTGATTAAGTCCATAATTCATTAACTTAATAAAAACATTATCTCAAATTCTTTGACCTTATACTTAGTTACGACACTATTATATTCATATGTAACAGTCGTTACCTATATGCCATTAAATAATGTATTTTATTGAATTTTTTTTGGATAAATCAATTTTATTATCTAAAGAGCAGTTAACTGCTACAAAAAACAGCAAGTTCTTACAAGAGTAACAAGAACTTACAATCAATGTTTACAACAAAAAAAAACTTCAATAAACTATACCCCATTGATTACAAAGTGAGATATTCACACTATCCATCCTATTAATGCTTCTATCCCGTAATTTTATAGCCACTGTATCTTGAATGGCATGGAACAAAGCTTCAAAAGATCTCGAGCAGCCTGTAAAAACCCTTTTGTTCCTCTCTTCCCATATTGTATAAGTAAAAGAAGTCCAAGCAAGCTTAATGATAGTGACGAGAAGGGGTTTACCTTTCCATGTAGCACAAGCCCAAGATATGTGATCATCCCAAGAGCATGGTCTTTTTCGAATGTCATTTAGATGTAAAATCGAATCCCATAATGAGCTAGACAAAGGACAATGAAGAAATAAGTGATCCCTAGATTCCAAAGAGTCATTGTAAAGCACACATTGATTATCAATCTGAATTCCCATTCCAATCAATCTATCTTTAGTTGGAAGTCTATTTAGCAAAGCCATCCAGATTATAATGCTAAACTTAGGGATATGGAGAGGGAACCAAATTAACTTGTGCCAAATTTTTTTATCCTCCATGTTTCTGATTTGAAGACAACAGTCCTTGATAGTAAGAGCTCCCGTTGAAAAAACATTCAAAGCTTGAGACCTCATTTTAAGCAAACACCGGAGACTCCAGCTCATGTTAAGACCAATTTCCAGATTCCAAAAATCTGAATTTTTAATAATATAACTCCTAATCCAGGCTATCCATAAAGAACCATCACCTGCAAGCAGCTTCCGAATCAAGTGCATCATACATGTCTTGTTCCAGGACTTTATGTCTTTAAGTCCTAAACCCCCTTAAGATTTAAGTAGGCAGAGCTTTCCCCAGCTCACTCTTGCACCCGAAGATGCCTTGTCCGAACCTTTCCAAAAGAACCGTGAACATAGCTGCTCAATTGTGTGAAGGATAGATTGGGGTAGGATTAACTGCCTACACCAAAAATTTGTGATACTAAGCAGGATAGTTTTAATAAGCTCTAAACGACCAGCATAGCTCAAGTGTCTTTGTGGCCATTGATGAAGACGTTCCCTAATATTATTGATGAGAGCAACAAAATCTTTGTCAGAGAGTTTCCTAGAAACTAGAGGAAATCCCAAGTATCTAACTGGTAAATATCCTTGATTGAACCCAATAATACGCTTGATTTCCTCAATTTGCCTAGGGGATATTCCAGCAGTATAGAATTCACATTTCTGAGCATTGATTTAAGGCCAGAAATAACATAAAAGTGTTCCAAAACACTAATAATTTCCACAATATATTCAACATTCCCCTTACAAAAAATAAGCAGATCATCGGCAAAAGTGAGATGAGTTAAACCAATTTTTTTTACATCTAGGGTAAAATCCGAATATACCTCGAAGAGTAGCCTTGTTGAGAATTTTGGATAACACGTTCATAGACAACACGAACAGCAAGGGTGAGATTGGATCACCTTGCCGTAAGCCTTTGGCCCCTTTGAAATATCCTATGAGACTTCCATTGAACGAGATAGAGTACCGAGCTCCTGTAAAACAAGCTTCAACCCACTTTATGAAAGTAGGAGGAAGGTCAATAGCATTAAGAACCGCCAAAACAAATCCCCAATGCAGTGAATCGAATGCCTTATGAATATCAATTTTCAAAGAGCATCTGGGTGAGATAGTCTTCCTACTATAACCTTTGACAAGCTCCTGTGCCAAAAGAGTGTTATTAACAATGTTCCTTCCTTTAACAAAGGCGGATTTATTGAGAGAAATAATATCAGGGAGTAAAAGAGTGAGTCGTTTAACCAAGATTTTTGTAACAACTTTGTAAACCACTGTACAACGGGAAAATAGGCCCGAAATCCTTGACTTTGCAAGGATTTGGGACTTTAGGAACCAAAGTGATTGAAGTCGAGTTGAAAGCAGGAAGCATAATAAAATCCTTGAAGAATTGAGTAATAGCAGCAACCACATCTTCTTCAATAATAGACCATGTGTTCTTAAAGAAATAAGGAGTGTAGCCATCAGGTCCTGGAGCTTTTTCATTACCTTGACAGAAAAATGCTTCCTTAATCTCATCTTTGGTAACATCTTTTATAAGAGCATTGGAAGCATCAGAAGGCAGAGAGTACTGAAATAATTCTTGAAGTAAAGTCTGGTCACATACTTTAACTTCAGGATTTTCAGATCCAATCAAGTTTGTGAAATGCCCTATCAATTCGGAAGTCATTGACTCAAATGATTCAAGTCTGTTTCCATTGTCATCAACAAGAACTCTGATAGTTTCCCTCTTAGTTTTAACAGCAACTGCCGAATGAAAGAACTTTGTACACTTGTCACCATCTTTAAGCCATTGGACTTTAAACTTTTGCCTTAAGAAAATATTTTTAGCCTCTTCTAAGATTTTCAGCTCGTTTTGCACAAGAAGCTCTTTATAGAAGGAATCTTCGGCTCTTAAAGATAACAATTGTTGTGTTTCCAGCTCTAATTTCTTTTGTTTAGCACGTGCTGAAATGTCATTATAAAAGAGTTGATTAAGAGATTTCAAGCAAGTTTTAAGGCGCTTTAACTTGAAAAACAGATTCTGCATGGGGTTGCCTTTTGAAGGAGTTTGCCATGATTGTCTCACTACATTCATGAACTTTGGATGTTGAACCCATAAGTTAAAGAATTTGAAAGGCTTTGGATGATCAACAAGAGTTTCTTTAGTTAGCCAAGTAATAGCCAAACAATGGTCAGAAATTCCCGGAGCTTGAAATTCCATATGGGATTTCGGAAATAATCTATACCGTTTAGGATTGACAATGACTCTGTCAAGCTTCCTTGCAAGGTAAGAGTCTTGTTGTTTGTTGCTCCAAGAAAATGTGGGGCCAAAGAAAGGGTGATCAGAGAGTTCTAAATCAAAGACAGCATCTTGTAATTCCTTCATATCAGAAGAAAGAAAAGGTCCTAAAGTGGAAGAATTAGATCTTTCGTTGGAGTTAATAATGACATTAAGATCTCCTCCCAGAACCCAAGGAAGATTAATATACAACCTGCCTAAATCAGAAAGATGTTGCCAAAGTTGTCTACGAAGAATTCCATCATTACTTCCATAAACAACAGTAATGATCAGTGGGATACTGAGGTAATGACCTTTGATGGAAATACATTGGCTAGAAACATGAATAACAGAAAAATCCAGATTATTTTTCCAAATGATCCAAATCCTTCCATTATCAGCAAAATCATAGTTAGTAATAGAATTCCAGTGTTCGAATTTATTGTCAAGAATAACAGCAACATTACTAACTTTCACTCTAGTTTCCAAAAGGCACAAAACATCAATTTTATTAAGGATAGCTCTCTTAAGAATACCTACTTGCTTTAGAGGACTATTAAGACCTCTAATGTTCCAAAACCCAACAATCATTGAGAGGGAGCAGAGGTGGTAGCCACAGTGCTACTCACATCAACATTCTTAACTTTTTTATTATGTCTTTCTTCTTTGATTTCAGTTCAGTTAAAAGGGTAGCCACTCCAGCAGATGCAACTCTTTTCTTAAGAACAAGATCTGTAGGAGAAACAGAATCCTCAGATGCAGATAAAATTGCAAATATGTTCTTTGAACCATCAAGAATAGTTTTAGTGTTATCTTTTTGAGGCCTACCTCTACCCTTCTTAACTACAGATGGATCAGTAGCAGTAATAGTGTTTTTCAGAGGAGGTACATTAGGATCAGAAGTAATAGCTACATTAGTATCAGTAGTAATAGTGTTTTCATTAGAAGAAGAATTAACAGCAGAGTTAGAAGCAGTAGCATCAATGTGATCAGAAGGGCCATAGGTTATATTATGATTATAACAACTCTCTTTAGGAATATTCTCATCAGCTCCATAATCTTTAATTTGCATTTTCTTCTGAAGAAGTTCAACTCTTCCTTCTAATGGAACTACAGAAGTATTAAGAGTTTTCTTTTTCCATACTTGAGTAGTTATTTGTGCTGCTGGTTTATGTTCTTTATAGTTTCTATCACTATGCCCGAACACTCTATAGTTCTTACAACATGGTGGAAACCAAGGTAACTCAACAAGAATTGAGGTAATAGACCCATCATTCATAAGCACATCCACATACTCATGAATATTATCATTCAGACCAATCTCAATGCATAGTTTAGCATACTCTAACCTCTTCCTAGATGCAATAACAGAGTCCATAGAAAGAGGAACTCCGATGCCACTTGCAATATAGCTTAGTCCAGTTCTAGAGTATAGTTCTAAGGGCACATTGTAAAGATGAATCCACACTGGGATTTTAGTAAGATCAAAGTCTAATTTTTTCAGATTTGGCTCTCATTTCCTAAGTATCAAAGGCTTATTAAAAATATGCCAGGAGCCATTTTCTAACACCCAATTCCTAGCAGCTTCAGAATCAAACGAGAAAACGTAAATGTTGTTACCTGTCAAACTAATTTGAGCACTGTTTCCATTGAGAGCTTTCTTCCACATGGAATCGATAGCTTTCTGCATAGTGGTAAAGTTAGGTGGAGGCCCAAGGAACTGCCTACCAACGAAAGCTTCCAATTAACAATCCCCTCTTCAAAGACCTCCGGAGGCGGTTGGACTAACGGACAACCATCGCGCGATTTTGGGGGGGGGGAATTCCAAATCTTGCCCTATCGAGCTAATGAACAGTTTCTTCCAATCCATGAAAACTATAATAGGCGGGACCGATGGAGGGAGATTGAGAGAGAACGAGCAAACCAGACGAACCCACCGGAGCGACGACGGGGATCTCAGAAAACGTTAGACCTGCTAACGTGCACCCAGAGAAAACCAACTATCGTGCGCCAGAGACTTATATATATTTTTTATTGAACTTGATATCACCAATCAAGTAGTATTTGTTAATTCTTAAAAAGAATCAGACATTATTAATGTTTTAGATTTGGTTCAAGGATGTATGAAAATTTTAAATTTTTGAAAAAGAAGATAAATCTTTTTTTTACTTAAATAAAATTCTAAATAATAATTAAATCAATTATTTGAATGATTAAACTTTTTAATTTTGACTTTTAAGTCTTAATAATTTTTTTGTTAATAGTTACTGTCATTTGACACATTGTGATTATATCACATGAAACTTGTAAAATTTTAAAACAAAAAATATAAGATTGATTAAAAATTTAAATGTATTATATAAAATTATAAAAAAAATAATAAATTTCTATAAATGCCACTTGACAATATATGATGTTGTATGGAACGTAATATACTTATACTCTAAAATAATAAATTCTAAGCCTAACCACTAAATTCTAAATCTAAAACCATAAACCTTAATTAAGTGCATTATATTAAAATAATCTAAAATTTGCATAAATCTGTATCACAGATAATATTTGTTTATTTATTATGTATCTATAAATGAGGTAGTGTAGTTAGCATTGTGCTACTTAATTCTTCGTCCTTGAGCATCTCAACTAGAGAAATGTGTTCCGTTACGAGGATGTCAAGCTCAAGATACTGTTTCCTCTGTAGCTCGTTGCTAATTCTAAGCTTTGCTGTTCTTGCAATTCTAATCCGTGCCCAAGATATATCAGGTTTGTTTTACATGGAACTAATATGACCAATTTTATTTCACAAAGATATTAATGCTATATTATTTTCAGGTTTCATAAGCTTAGACTGTGGGCTGTCAGCGGGTTCAAGCAACACTGATCCCAGAACAGGGATACCATATATTTCAGATGCACCTTATATCCAAACTGGCTTAACTAGGAGGGTGTTGCCTGAGTTTAGAGACGGTTTACCTGTGAGGTATTGGACCGTTAGGAGTTTCCCGGAAGGAGACCGAAACTGTTACAACTTCACTCTTCGAAAGGGAGACGTTTATTTGATCAGAGCAGGTTTCATTTATGGAAACTATGACGGAGAAAACATGGTCCCAAAGTTTGATATTTACGTGGGACCTCATTTCTGGGATACGATTGATTTAAGAACTGCGGATAATTCTTTTTTCTACGACATCTTCCATGTTCTTCAATCCGACTATTTGTATGTCTGTCTAGTGAATACTGGGAATGGAGTGCCTTGCATATCATTTCTCCAGTTGATTCCTATCGATAACACAACTTATCCGACTCTGTCTCAAACAGAATCGCTCGATCATTATGCAAGATACGACGTCGGTTTGTCTTCCAGTGAGGATTCTATCAAGTGAGCCATTACTTGTTAATTTCCGGTTTTATCACGAGCTGAATATTCCCCTCAATATTATTTATTAATTAGCAGCACCTTGACAGGTTTCCCCAAGACGTTTTCAATCGATATTGGTATCCTTATGTAAGAAATGATTGGACACAAATAAATACCTCTTCAACTGTCCTAGGCTACCGAAATGATACTCCATCGGTTGTGATGAGTACTGCCTGTACGCCGGTAAACGGTAGTCAGCCCATGGATATATACATGAGCAGTTCAAGCACCGATGCCAGCTACTACGTGTACATGCACTTTGCAGAAGTTGAAGAACTCCAAGCCAACGAATCCAGGGAGTTCAGTATCTATCATAATGGGGATATATGGTATGGACCTTTTAGTCCTATGTATTTGAACACAACCACAATATACAGCACATCGTCTCTCAAAGATCTCAATTTTACAATCGAAAGAACCAGTGGTTCAACCCTTCCGCCAATACTTAATGCCTTTGAGATTTTTGAGGTAAAAGATTTTTCTCAGCCTCAAACCAATGAAAAAGACGGTAAGTTGTCTAAAGCTACCGACCTGTGTTGTTTATATATACGTGCCTTCCCTCTACCTGTCGATCTAATTTCCAGTTCTCTCGTATACATGATAGTTGACGCTATGGTGAACATACAATCCATGTATGGATTAAAGAGAAACTGGCAGGGAGATCCTTGTCTTCCTAAAAAATTCTTGTGGGAAGGACTTAATTGCAGCTATGATGAAACAAATCCACCAAGAGTCATTTCTCTGTAAGTCTTGCATGTGTCTGCGTTTATGTTTTAAGTAAGCAGGGTTTTTCTGGTTAAATTACTAAAAAAATTGGCCATGAAATCAGGAATTTGTCCTCTAGCAATTTGAATGGAGAGATACCTAATGCTATAGCCAATCTCACTCAATTACAGTACCTGTGAGTGTCTCCAATCTACGTGTTCATGTGTTAATTTCGGAATTTATTAGGCTCACTTATTGCTATTTGTTATCAGGGACTTATCAAACAACCGCTTGACCGGACCTGTGGCTGAATTTCTTGCTAACCTGCAATTCTTGACTCTGCTGTAAGTTATTTGAAAATCTAAGACTACTTCAAAAAGAGAAGTGACAAGTGAGGAAATATGACCGCTGTTCTTTGCAGAAATTTGAGTAGAAACATGCTCAACGGTTCAATTCCAGCAGGACTCACGGAAAGGGTAAACCAGGGTCAACTAGATTTAATGTATGATTTCCTTCTCCTTATTTATATTTCTGAATGTTCACATGCTTATAGCCGTGACTGGAAACTTAAATCCAAGTTCTTTTTTTGGCTAACTGAAATTGATTGCAGTATGGATGAAAACGCAAGTCCTATTTGTATATCCGGTTCATGCAGCAATGACGGCGACGACAACAACAACAACACAGTTGTCCCTGTAGTAGCATCAGTTGCATCAGTGGCTTTGGTCCTCGTAATTGTATGGGCCGCCTTGTGGAATATTAGAAGGAGAGCAAGAAAACATGCTGGTATGATCGTAATTACAGAAAATTTTGGTGGATCTAAATTAATATTTCTTCGCTAACTCATTATCATATTGAATTTGTTTCAGTTTTATCATTGGACCACCAGAAGACTGGTGTCGATTCCAGAAAAACAAATCCGTTACAGGATTCGTCAAAGAACCGACGGTTCACGCATGCACAGGTCAAAAGGCGACCAACAATTTCGGAACAGTTGTTGGTAAAGGAGGATTCGGAACAGTTTATCACGGCTATTTAGATGAAACTCAAGTAGCCGTCAAAATGCTTTCTCCATTTTCAGCCCAAGGTTATCAGCAGTTTCAAGCCGAGGTATAACATCTATTAACAAATCCCTCATCAATTTGGAAGCTAAATGTATACGATTGTTTAAAATATCTGAGTTTTAACCCTTTACAGGTGGAGCTTCTTTTGAGAGTTCATCATAGAAATTTGACCACGCTTATTGGGTACTGCGATGATGGCAACAACATGGGGCTCATCTATGAGTACATGGCCAAAGGAAACTTAGCAGAGCATCTCAAAGGTTAGATTATTTATACCCCGGTGGCTCATATGATTATACATCATCAATGCGTTAAATATTATTTTTAAATTTAAACCAAGTATGATTTAATGTAGATAGCAGCAGAGGTATCCTGAATTGGGAAGCCAGGCTTGGCATAGCCCTGGAAGCTGCACAAGGTCAGAAACTATGCATGCATTCATACATATGAGTCAACTGAATATAGTTGAAAAAGTAACAGAGCAAATTAAAACGAAATGCAGGACTAGAATATTTGCACCACGGTTGCACACCACCTATAATCCACAGAGATGTGAAGTCCACCAACATATTGTTAACTGAAAGCCTGCATGCCAAGCTCTCTGATTTTGGGCTGTCCAAAGCATTCCCACTCGAAGGCGACAGTCATGTCATTACTGTTGTCGCCGGTACCCCGGGATATGTCGACCCTGAGTTAGTAAATCTGGCCTTGGCTCTCAGCTGTCTCTGAAACATCATAATATGTTATGAATCTCCGGAACCCTCCATGTTTTCGATGCAGGTATTCTACGTCGAACAGGTTGACAGAGAAAAGCGATGTATATAGCTTCGGGGTTGTCTTGTTGGAAATCATCACGAACAGACCGGTGACAACAAAAACGTATAATCAGACTACACATATAAGCCAATGGGTTAGTTTGATGTTATCCAGCGACGATATCAATACCATTGCTGATTCAAGATTGCAGGGAGACTTTGACATTTCCTCCATGAAGAAAGCAGTAGAACTGGCAATGGCTTGCGTGTCTCCAACTTCGACAAGAAGGCCAACCATGACTTACGTTGTCACCGAATTGAACGAGTGTTTGTCGGCCGAGATAGACAGGAACCACAACATTCAGTTAGCTCCCACTCAATTGAATATTCCCTCACCTAATGCGAGGTGACTGCAAATTCTATTGGTATAAATAAACCAGGTCAACTTGAAAGGTTTTACTGTCTGTACGTGAAGATGTAAAGGTTTGTATTTGATGCTTTTATCGGTGTGTTAGTTATACAATGTCCATAATATCTTTGTACCATATATATATATATATATATATATATATATATATATACAGGGTTTTGACCCTCTAATTAGGATGTACTCGTAGATTGTCGTTACAGTTTCGGAATTGGTTGCTCTTTTTCAAGCTTCGAAGTTATAGAATTTCTGTTGCGTAAACAAGACTGTTTTGTCTATGGTATTTTATTTTTTACATATAAAATAATTTGACATCATGTT